CAGTTATTTTGGTTTACATCGAAGGAAACTAAGCAACGTATGAAGGCTCATACGGCGTTCTTCCTTAGCACAGCAGCGTTAGATGGCTATTTTTCTGGAGGTGGATGAATCGGCTTACGGTATTAATTATTTGCCGGGAGCAGCTGCCATGCGTTAGATTTTGAAAAAGTCCGCTGGTTATTTATGTAATTTGATCGGGAGGAGAAATTCATGTTAATTAGGTGGAGTTTTGTAAAATATAAGGTAAAAACTGTTAGTTTCGAGTAGACTATGGACGATTGGGACTATTTCATCAACCAAGTTTACTGATGAATAGTTTCATCGTTGATATTTTGAACGGAATTCGATAAGTTTCCTAGACCGCGAAGGTCAACTAGGGGACAGACCCCCTCAGGGGGATATTGAGTGGATCTGAAATCGAACACGTCTCTCACGCCTTCTGCGAATAGCAAATACAACAGCTAGTTTGCAGTGATACTTCCAAACTTTTGAGAGCCCATAATTGCCAGATAGAGTTGATCAGCACTAGTCTCCATTTAAAATATCCACACAATATCGCACGACCTGGCTTCACGAGACGCGCCGACCCTAAGTTCAATTCAGCCGGTTAAACAATTAAAACAACTTTGAATCTGAGGCATTATGTAGAAGTCCCGAAAAGGCGGGCAAGCTACGCTTTCATCTCTCTCTGCGTTGCCAGATGGATCGAGATATACCAATGAACCGATTATTAGAAATAGAAAAACTATATTCCGGTCGAGGGTGCGTTATCAGTTTGGGTGCTCATATTAATGGCAATAATATAATTCTGCAGTGGCGGAATGGAAGAAAAATTTAGGACTAGCCAGCGTATGGTTTCAGGGCGCTTCTTCCACTTAATTTTAATCCACACCTAATTCGTCCGTCACATTTGTTTTGTCCAATGAAGTTAGTCCGAATGTAAAACTTATCCAATGGACATGTGGCTGTTACGGTAATTAGTCCAGGACAATAATTAATGGGATACAACATCGCATACGATGACATCATTTCAACCTTCCCCTCCGATGAAAGTGAGTGTTGAAATTCGATTCCCACACAGCACTTAACCTCCAGAGATGTAACATTTTGTAAAATTTCATGGAAAATTTGAATTTTGTGAACTTCTATCCTACAAATTTTGTAAAATACTTGAAATTAGGACGTTGATTTCAATATCGTAAGAAGGTGTCTTGGCGCTAGCTCAAACATGAAAATCTTCACTATCAAGGCCATAGCTCTTCAGTGGCGAGGCGCGTCTGATCGATTATCGATATTTTCCCATATTCGAAACTACGGTAAAGAATCGATAATCAAGATTTTCGGAGCAAATACCGTAAAGGCTCAGTTGCGCCGGTCACAGAATCGTGTTTTGATGCTTAATTCTTGTAGATTTGCTTAAAATAATAGGATCTGCCCACGCATCAATTTTAACCAAGATATTGCGCTTAGAAAAATTATGTTCATGACGTCGTCCACCGCGGCTGTGACACCCTTGGTTTCTTCCACCATGCTCTTATCCGAGTTTCATGTTGAGTAAGTAGTACAAACACGTGTCTCGCTAATTGATAAAAGCGAGGTGGAAGAAACCAAGGGTGTCACTTCCGCTGTGGATGACGTCATGAACCGAATTTTTCAAGGCGCGTTATCTCGGTTAAGATTCAACGTAGGAAGTTGCTGTTGGGACAGATCTTATTAGTTTAAGGTAATCTACGAGAATTAAGCATCAAAGCCCAATTCTGAGACTAGCGCAACTGACCATTATCGATGGTTTCTACAGGTTTAAATGGCAGATCACTCTATATCGCAAAGCACTCCACGCTACTGATGGCTCCTTAAAGAAGGAGAGAAAACCCTTGAATAAGGCGTGACATTTGGCGACGCTGATATTGAGAGAGTAATTTATGAATAGACGAGCAAATATCTTGCCTTTGTCTCTAAAAACAGACTGTCCGTTGCGTCCGTGTTCATGCTCCATTAATCCTCATATTTGGCTTGTAAATTCAATGTAAGCAAGCTCTGCGGGTTGCATAATTGCATCGACGGACGGCGCACGGCGCTGAAAACTGGACCGAGTAAATCTCTTGCGGTTTTTGTCCTCGGACCGGCGCGCTCGGTCTCCAGTCAGGGTTTTTCGAAACCCAACGACAGATTCCCTTGCGAGCTACCGGTAATATTTCACTCGTAATGTATGGTAAATCTCCTTTACACAGTGGTATTATCTAAGTTTCAACTTAGGTCACAATCGGCAAGAGAAGAGTATCGACAATTATTATTTATTAGAGGCATTTGTTTTTCGCCTTCAATTTTAGAGGTAGGCCATAAAAAGACCTTCGTTCAGCAATACTGCCATGCTAAGGAAAGACGGCGTATGAGCCTTCAGATGTTGCCAAATTTCCTTTGATAAAATACGAATATTCAAGGAAATCTGTGAATATTTCTCCTCCAGATTTTCAGATAATTTTATTCGCAATTAGATATAAATTATCAGAAGATTTCAAAAGAAAATATTGGCAACTATCCTGGAATATAAATATTTTATCAGTGGAGATTTGGCAACTCTCGAATGTTAATACGCTGTTCTATTTTAGCATAGTAGTATAGTTGTTATCTATTCGAGGACCACACAACCGAGTATTAACCAAACACTAAGATTTTAAATTTGTATTGTATTTAATCTGACTGAAGACGGATGTGGTGTTTCCAACCGATGCATCTTGGTGTTGTTCGTGTTTTTTAGTATTGTTACTCGTTGTTTTAAAAGTTCAAATCTATTTGAGGATTTGAATCTTGAATTGTTAAGAAATCTTGATGTACAGGGAATTTTGTTCAACTCCACCTCATGCTTTGAATGCACCTTTTTTTCTGTACAAGTTTCTCTGATCGATGATGAATGTATAATCTGACAATAATAATTCACTCCCAAAGTATTTGACTGGAAAAATGGTTCTCTGGCGTACATGAGGGAAATACAATCACTGTCTTAGCACTAAGAGAGACATTAGGCTGGAGCAGAACGTAGGTGGGAACTGAGCTAAATCCGCGAGTTAAGTCTTTAATTTAAGATTGTGTTTGAGTCATATTATAACAGATTGTTTTGAGGTCACTTACGCTATATTACACTGACGACCAGAAATTCGGCCAAAAGTAGAAATTCAGAACATCGAAAAACAAAAATTAACATTACACATTATACCAAAACTATTAAATCTTCAGTGGTGATTGTTACACGTTTAATGAATTAAAACATAAGAAAAAATTGACCAACATCTGATTTTGTTAGGTTAAATTTGTCCAAATCAAACAGCTCAAACACAGCTGCCTTTAAAATTCTAATTCAATGACAAAGATGAAAGCGACACTTTTCGGACAGGGTGTTACGAGGGACCATTCAGATTGCCCAAAAACCTATAGGCCGCCCAGGCGCCCACACTGTTTTTCAGCCAACTTTTTGTCCGCGCATAAAAACCTATCCTGGCCGAAGGACGGTGGTCCCGACTACCCTCCTGTGCTATGGAAAAACGCCGCATGAACATGCGAGGGTTGCCAAATTTCCCCGGATAAAACATGTATATTTGAGAATATTTATGCATATTTCACCTTAAAATTTTCAGATATTTTAGATTGAATTGCGAGAAAAATATTCAAAAAAATTGAAAGAAAAATATCTACAATTCCCTCAATTAATTCGGATTTTATGAGAGGAAATTTGGCAACGCCTGAAGGTGCATACGACGTTTTTCCTCAGCACGGCAGTACCCGAAGACTTGCTGAGCTCAGCGTGGGTTCGCAAGGAAATGCAGGCGGTACACGGGGCCGGATACCTGGTTCTCGCGGGCAAATATCTGCTGAAAAAGTGCCAGATTTCATTCGAATCTCTCCTCCCCCGCATTTGCCTCTTTGTTGGGCTCCAATATTGGGGGAGATTCGACAGCGAGGGTCCAAATATTAATTACGCGGGTTTGTTTGTTTTGCAGTCGGCCTGACGGAAGTTTATCTTGAGGTTAATTTCACAGGATTTATTATTCTTGAGTTTTCGCTTCGTTGCCACCTGGAGAGAGAGAGAGCGAGAGCCCTTGCCATTCCCTTTCCGAGCAGAATTTATCTCGGATTTAGATGTGTTGGGTCTTTAACTCAATAGACAAAGTATATGTTTCTGGGGCTCTTTAAACAATTTGTCGTCTCCTTCACGAAAGAACGTAACTACATCTCAATGTTGCCAAATTTCCCCTCAATAATTGTATTTCCACGAGGAGAATCCTGGCTATTTTTAACTGAAAATTTCACTCAGTTTTTTTCTCATCTCACGCACAAATCAGAAAATTTTGGACGAAAATTTCATAGGTTCACTATTGAGAGAAATGTAATCGTTTTCGGCAATTTTGCAACCTTCGAATAGAGTTTCGGTGCTCCGTCCGGGAACGACGTATTTTGATGACGTTGAGCGAACAAGTAGTTATACCTGCATTGGACCCTCCTCAATAAGAGGCTATGTCTATTAAGCGTCAAAATATTGGTTTAAAGTAGTGTGCGAGAGCTAGATTTCGGAGACTTTATACTTTAATAATGCTTAATCGAAAAACCTGTGGATCGATCGATAAAGCCGTGGATCAATCAATAAAGCCGTGAATCAGTCCACAAATCAGTGAATCGATCGACAAACCCGTGAACCAATCGACAACTTTGTGAATCGAACGACAAACCCGCAAATCAATCAATAGAGTCGTGGGTCAATCCACAAATCAGTGGATCAATCGAAAAACCCGTGAATCAATCGAAAAACCCGTGAATCAATCCACAAATCAGTGAATCGATCGACAAACCCGTGAACAAATCGACAACTTTGTGAATCGAACGACAAACCCGTGAATCGATCGAATCGGTGCCGATCACTTCACGTCAATCGAGTCCATATCCTTCGCATGGATCTGACGCGAAGCGAGAGAGAGAGAGTGAGAGGAAAAGATGTGAGGGTTGCTTACCTAGCGCGGAGTTTATAGGTGCACTTGATATGTTGCGGATAATTGGAGGGGTAGCGAGGTGAGAAGAAGCGGCCTCTGGAGCGCGTTAAATTATTGCTTATTAGCTGATAATCGCAGTCGGTTCCCGTCAGACGCTGCCCGTCCGTCTGGAAGCTCCCTGCAACAGAAACAAACACACAAACCATGAAATTGCATTCAAATCCACATTGCGTGGCCACCACGGGCATTTTCTCTTCATTTGAAGCTTGCAACGCGCATACCGAGGTAAACCAGGTTTATACAGCACGTGTTTGGTTGAGAAACTGCTTCGATTCAAACACCTCGTAATTGTAAAAAATTCTTTTGCACTGGAAAAAAACAAACACATTGGACCTAGAGTCCAGACTCTTGAAAACATCAATAAGAAAGAGGACTCTTGATTCAATCAGATTTAAGCTTAAATCGAAAGGAAATCCGCTCAAATTAAGAGGCTTGGTTCTTGATTTAAGCTTAAATCTTATTGAATCAAGAGTATTTTTTTTTGTCGATGTTTTTAAGAGTCTGGACTCTAGATCCAATGTGTTTTTTTTCCAGTGTGGTGATGAAAAATTCAAAATCCAAACACACTGAGCTCTATACTGGCACCTGAACTTTTTTGTGCAAAAATGCTGATAATGTCAAACAAGAATGTTCTGGCGGTTTTAAGTTTACAGATCAAAATGCACTGTTTTAGGGAAGAAGATTTTTAAAATTGTAGGGCCCATTTTTTAAACTCCGACGCGATTAGAGACAGTGCACGAGAAGAACACCAAAAGAACTTATCCATACGCGATTTGTTCACACTTGAACACTTTAGAATGGTTTCCAAAAAAATTGCATCCCTTCAGCAATAGCACTCCCATTTTCCTGTTAATATGAGCCATTCGATCAATGTCAAAGAAAGGGACGATATTAGTCATTGGCCTGCCAGTGTTGACCGTTAAAAAGGCCAATGACATCACAGGTCAGCGAGTTGATGAAATATTGCTACAGGGTCAAAAGCGAAAAATATTAGGTAGGCTGGGACGCCAACTGCACAGTGGCGTGGCGTGCTTTCGATACATCGGCTTATCTGCCATTTAAACCTATGGAAAAGGATCGATAAAGAAGGCGCCCGCAACGAACACCTCACTAATCGATTCCTCACCACAGCTCTAAATGGGAAAATATCGGCAATCGATCATTCACGTCTAGCCTTTGCAATTCGTCGTCTCCCGGACGAAAGAACGAAACTCCATTCTAAGGTTGCAAAATTGACTCAAACAATTCAATATTTAACCGTAATAGAACTGTGCAATTTTTGTCGAAAATTGGTCTGATTTTCGCATGAAATCAGAAGAAAAATCCGTGAATTTTTCAGTCAGAAATTCCAAAAATCTTCCAGGTGAAAATGCAATCTGCGCAAGGAAATTTGGCAACATCGAAATGCAGTTACGTTCCTTCATGCGAGGAACGACGAATTGTATTCCGGTTATCTAACATTGACCGAACACGTATCCCTATAATATTGACAAAACCATCGAATTTCGAGCATTCAGCCCTTGAATGTAGTCTCCATATTGTCGGTAAGGCATTTTGTCATTACATGGCCTCTAAATTGGACCGCATTAAACAGAAAGGAACCAAGCCACATCAGCTATTGCCAAATCTAATTGGGCAATTTAATTTTTTACATGAAAACGGAAGTGCGGATTGTCGTGCAAATTTCGGTGACTTTTCTCCTTAGTACAAACCTAATTCCTTGAAATTTTTGAAGGTATCCATGCAAACGTTCTCACGTAAAAAATTAAATTTCCCAGTTAAATTTGGCAACAGCTAATGTGGCTTGGTTCCTTTCTGTTAAACGCGGTCCAAATTAATCTATGTACAAATCAAGCTCATGTAGTTCCTCGGTAAGATCTGCGTTCAAGAACTTCGACTAACTTGAGTTTCGCACGCACAGAACTGCATGCATGTTAATTTCCGATGCACGATCGGCTTCGAGGGCGTGCATAGCCGCGCTAATTAACTTTACGAGAACAGTTTTTGCAGCGAAAAACCGTGAGCCCCCCCCCTCCCCACCTCGTCCAGCTTCCGTTTGACTCCCCTAGCTCAAGGAAAGAGAGCCATTTTCTTCCAGTTTTAATTAAAGTTCCAGTTTGACATTTCTTTGAATTAATATCATATTCATCCAGCTGGGTCGTGAAATGAGTTTACTTTATTGCAACTAAACTCCCTGAAAAATAAGACGGAGTCCAACAGAGACATCGGGTCAGTCCGGGAGATGAAATTGGACGACTTGGGATTTTACACCAAACCTTTGGGAAATCGTTAAAAAAATGCAAGGACCCTTCCCCTCTGACTGATTCAATCAGAATCAGTCGAACCGTGCTTTATATTGATCACGTTAAACAGAAAGGAACCAAGCCACGTATGCTATTGCCAAATGTAATTGGCTAATTTAATTTTTTACATGAAAACAGTTATGCGGTTTTTCCTGCAAATTTTAGTAAATTTTCTCCATAGTACGAAGCAAATTCCTTAACATTTTCAAAAATGAGGCCTTTATCATCGATGCCGAACCTTCAGTAAGTAGCCTGCGACCGCAGCTCAATTTTTTCAGCGTAATGAAGGCTATTTCAATTGTAATCTTCCGTCGCACTGCTAAGGCACGATGATACAACTATTCGTATCCTCCGGAATGCGCGAGGTATCACGTCGCATTTGAAGGCGTTTTCAAAACAGCCAAGTTACGATATCGGGACCGTCGTTTCGCATGAAGTTCGTAGCACCAAATCGATGGAATGACTGATCTCACAAGCTACTGTACCCATCTCCTTCTTTTAATTTATTTATAGTTTTTGTACAAGTTGTACAGTAGCGCAAAACGTCCTCCATGTATTTACGTTCTGGTCCAGCTTTTATGTTCATTTTGTTCTGTACTTTTTTTGCATTTTATTGTTGATTTCAGTTCTTATCTTTTTTTTTTCATTCCTTGACACTTGTTTATTTTTCACTCTCCTATAAAAATTACCCATTTGCTAAATACAATGCTAGTTGGAGCGCACTATAAGTATTTAACAAAGTCGAAATAATCCGAAAAAAACCCCGACAAGGCCAGCGTGCGTGAAGGCTCTTTCAATTTCAATCCTCCGGCTCAGGCGCATTGCTAAGGCGCAATGATACAACTATTCGTACCCTTCGGAATGCGTGAGGTATCACGTCACATTTGAAGGCGTTTTGAATGCAGCCAAGTTTTGATATCGGGAATGTCTTTTCGTATGAAGTTCAGAGCACAAAATCAATGGAATGACTGATCTTACGAGGTAATGCAACACTTCTGTGCAGAGCTCCTGGTTTTAATTTGTTATGTTTTATAATTTTTTTTCAAGTTGAGACGGAGCGTCCACAAAGAAATTAAGTTTAAAAAGTCAGGGAAGCACTTTTTTGCTCAACGATCTTGACCTGCTCTTCTGCAAAGTGTTCAACTCTTCCAGAGGCAGATGTCGTGGGTACTTCATTAGAGGTGATTAAAGCACACAAGGACATAAACCTATGGAAAATGATCGATAAACAGAGTGTCCGCAACGAACGCCAGAATAACAGATTCTTTACCGTAGTTTCAAACAGGGGAATATCTGTCGCAGGCAAATAGTAAAATCAGGCATTTTGTCAAATAGTCAAATATTCTAACCTAGATTGAAATTCTTATTCTTTTCCTAATTTTAGACAAAATAATTCATTGCTCCTGCAACAAAAAATTCTCAGTAAAAAATTGCATCTCACAATAGTATTTTATACAATTTTCAGCTCCTGAAAAGACACTGATCTTGACATTTTCAGCATTTCGTAAAGTACAAAATTTTTGGAATTTCAACATTTAAAAATATGAGAAGCAATTGAAAAGGAAGAGACGAAAAGAGTTCGTAGGTTTGATGAGTTATTTTTCTAAAAATAGTAAAAAATCATGACCTCTTCGCCATAAATTCTAGACCGTCCAAATTTGAGTATTTGCCTAGGCATTTAACAAAATGCCTGATTTCACTATTTGCCTGCGACATATCGATAATCGATCATTCACGCCTCGTCACTGTCTTCGGACCTACTTCTGGGTGAGCGAAACTTGAATTATTCCTCGGAATTCATCAACTCTGCTATATGAATTGATAATTGCAGAAGTTGTTGGGCTCATTAGAGGAAGGGATGAAAATAAAGCTCAAACGGCGAGTAATTATATCGACATTAGCAGAAGTTGTCGAAATAATTCGGACTGAATCAAAAAGTTATAAAATTTAATTTAAAACCTTCCCGGAAAAGGATGCAGGAGCACTTAGCTCTGTAACTCGTTTGATCTAAAATGCGCACTCATCTGAAGTCATCCTTTACTTTTAACTCGGAGCCTTTGCAACTCCTTTTTAATATGATAATTCTCACCGCGCGCGGACGGCGGATGCTACCCCGGCTACATTTATTTTATGCGTAAAGTTTTCTTTTGTGTAATGGCCCGGGCAGTAAACCGGGGACGTATCTTAACCTCGAATTTTACTACTCCTCAAGCTCGGCGAGAGAGGGCCAAGTTGGAGTTTTTTTCTCCCCTGTACTTCTGTGCATATCGATGTGCATTATCTGTCCGCGCGACGCGTAAGTTCTCGTAAACACTCCTCGTTTATTATTGAGGAATAATTTAGCTTTATTGCTCCGCGGGTTTCCTGCGAGTCCTCCGAGGCGCGGCGGCGGGTTATGGATCGTCTTCATAATTCAGGGTATTTAGCACGGGGGTGCACTGAAATGGTGAGTGGCAGCGACTGGTGAAAAGTGCTTCCGAAAACTCTGGAAGGAACTGAAAAAATTTACGCAAAATAGAACCTTTTTTCAGTATTTTTTTATTTGAGTGAGAGGAGGGGGATAAAATGTATGTAAAAAAGCTTTAAGACTCTGTCATCCATTTTTTTAAAACTTTTTTAAACTTCAGTGGGAAAAAATGTTATACACGTATTAAATTACAGAAAACTACAGTAGATCTGATGAGAGGTTTTTTTAAAACAGGGCTGACCGTCCCGAAATCGTGTAACGCACATTTTCAGAATGTTTAACCCTCTTTCCTTGTTCACGGTGCGCCTTAACTGACTTATCAAGAGCTTGTCCTATTTCATTTTTTTT